GAAAGCGGTCCCTGCTCCGGAGCTCCGCACAGATGTGACCCGGTGCCTGCGAGCTGGCGCTCCCGACCAGCGCGGAGTCTCCAGGGCAACGAGCATGACCTGCCCATCACGCATACTAGAACCTGAAGGTCCCGGAAGAGCATTGGGATTGGCCAAGGTCTCGGGATGCTCCTACATCCCCCAGTCCAACTGGCCTGCGAGCACCAAGGGGAAGGAGCAGATGGGCCCAGCAGGCGCCTCTGCATCTGCCCGAGAGGGGAGAGCAGCCAGGGCAGGAGGTCCAGGAGCTGGAGGTCTCCCATGCTGGCCCTTCATGACAAACCTCCCTTGTCTGAGCACAACCAGCCATACCAAGGACCTCCCTGTGCCTGTCAGCCCACAAAGCACAAGCGGCGCCACTGCCCGTGGCCGCACGGATGTCCCGATGTGTCCCCATCTCGGCCAGCCCATGCAGCCACCACAACTCTGTCCCGTGACGCCAAAGCAACAACTGCGGTGGCAGCAACCAGGGCACAGCCCACGCACAGACGGCAAGTGCCCACGGGTCTGCGGGAGGGCTGGCGACCATCTCCAGAGCCGGAGCCTCCCGGGATGGGCAGAGCCTCCGGAGGGAGGCAGGGCCACCGCACAGGGGCAGGACCCCTCCCATCACTGCCATCTGAACAGCTCATCCCTCCCTGGCACGTGCAGCCGGAATGACACATTTGGAGCTGAGCGCCAACCCTGGACACCTCCCAGGACGGTGGCTGCACCTTGGGCACGCGGCGTGGTCGGGGAGTCCAGGAGCCTCTCATGGGCAGGACAGCCCTATCCACCCGGGTGCATCCCGCAGCTTTGCCTCCCCCCACCTCACGCCTCCGGCCTTACTTGTGTCCTTGTGTTCGGAGTGGTATGGGCTCCCCGGCGGGGGGCGGGGCCACCCGCCTGCCCCGCGCGGCCCCGTGCCCGCGCGGCTGCTCGCCCCCGCTGCAGATGCCGCTTGGCCGCAGCACCGAGGGCACCGCGGGGACCGCTCCTCCCTCCTTCCCTCCCTCCCTCCTTCCAGGCCACGGGATCGCAGCCCAAAAAGGGACAGCAAACAAAAGCCCGAGCCCCAGCAGGGACGTCCCGGAGCAGCAGGGCTCTCCAGAGGGCAACGGCAGAGAGATGGCGGCGGATCTCAGGGCTTGTCCTTGGGAAGCCCGCGCGGGAAGTGGTAAGTGGCCGTTTTGGTGGTTTCCTGCAGGCAGGTGGCCGGTGATCAGCGCCTGTGTCCCTCCCCGGGCTGGCACACCGCCACCACAGCTGAGCCCGTCTCACAGCTTTGCTGTTCTCAGGCCCAGCTCCTCCTCCTGGCCATCCCCTCCCGGGCACCGGAGCCTTGTGTCCCCCACCAATGACCCTCATGTCGGCCTTGGGGCTGCAGCAGAGTCGCTTCATTACGAATAACCTCTGAGGCAGAAAGTCCTCCTGCTCCTTCCCGAATTCAGCGCCTGCGTTTGGAGCTGGGTCACAAGGAGCTCGCTCGTCCTTCATGCAGCGACCGTGAGGTTTCCTTTGGACTTTATCTCCCCGGCTCCATCGGGAGATAACGGCCCTTGCCAGGCACCTCAAAGCACTTGCATTGATTCTCGTCACCTGCCAAGCGCAGGGGAGAAGAGCGGCGTCGCGGGTCGCTGCTCACTCCCACACTCCCAGCAGAGCTCAGATGCACCGCGAGGGAGCCGGGGCGCTTGTCAAACGGGGGCCTCTCCATCCGAGCACTCCAGGGTCCCGTGTCCCCTCCGGCACCAGCACCCAAGGGCAGGAGCTTTGCGTTAGCCCAGCTAGGGACTCTCTTGCTTGGAAGCAAGCAAAGCAGCTCGTGTCTTTTTAATTCGTTTTTAAGAAGTTTAAAGGCGAGCGCATCATGCGCACAGAGGCCTGGCAGGAGAGCGAGCAGAGGCTCCGGTTCCAGCTGCACCTTACAGATCCCAAACCCAGCTGCGAAGCCACAAGATCCCCAGCCCCCGTGTAATGATGCAGCCCCAGCTCCCTGCTCCAAGCCCTGTGTGCACCTCTCTTCCTCCTCCTCCTCCTCCCGAGCCAGCAGCTTTCCCCCTGCGGATTTGCAGCCCCCAAAATAGCGTGAAACCCAAGTCGCGGCTCTGCCGCGGCGGCACCACTCTAATCCCACCGGGAGCAGGCTGCCGGGAGCTGCAGGGATGCTCGGGCCCGGGCAGGAGGTCTCGACACAACTACGAGCGCCGCGGCACGAGGATCGGGGAGGGGGGATTGGGTTACCCTGCACGGCGCCTCCGGGGCTGCTCTTACACTGGAGTCCTCTAAATGCCACCGCTGCTGGCCTGGCCGTCATCGCAGAGCCGTCCCCTCCGGAACAGCGGGCGGCGCGGTCCTTCCCCGGCCTCGTGATGCCGGTGGATTAATCGCTCCCCCCTGGAGCAGCATCTCCTCCGGTGCTCCCGCTTCCCCTCTCCTCCCTGTGCTTGTGTCCCAGCTCCTTGTGGAGCTGCTCATGCTTGGGGGGAGGTTTCGGGACCTCCTTGCTCATCCTGCACCCATTGATGGGGAGTGGGAGCTGGGGGCTGAGACCGGCCCCATTGCTACATGCCAGGCACCAAAGCGGGAAGAAATAGCAGCTGGGCAAGTACAAACCATGTTCCTACGCCTGGCCCGTGATGCATCTCACGTTGCACAGAGGACGGGGTCCCCCACGCCCCTGGGGTGCCACCAGGGAGCCATTAGGGACGCTGGCTGGGCACCATGGCCCGCGGCCGGTTTCGAGGGCCTGTGTGAAAAAGGGGAAGTATAAAAATAGAGGTGAGGGACAGCCGAGCAAGGGACACGTGGGCACCACAGCGGCCAGCGCATAGAGACCATTCCGGAGCAGCGGCTGGAGTCACCTGGTCCGGGAAACAGGAGACCCCGGCTAATCCTGCTCAGGGGACAGGTCTGCCTTGCAGAGCAGGAGCAGCTGTGACCCCCTTAGCCCCATACTCACAACCTTGGCCCTAACACATGTGGTTAATTAATTGGAGCCTCATTAGCCACTAGCTGGGGCTCCACTCTCCTGGACATCAGCCAACGGAGCCGGCTCTGAGCAGCACCATGGCTTGGGATGGGAGAGCCCCGGGCACCCATTCCCCTCTCCAAGCCGGAGCAGCATTCGGACGGAAAAGAGCCAGAGGCCAGTGCCAGTGTCCCCCTGTCCCCAGGAGAGGCAGAGCAGCACGAGCCGGGGTGCAATCATTTGCAAAGGTTTTTATTGGCATAAATAATTCATACACCGTCACCTCACCAAACACTGCACACGAAAAGAGAAAGAAAAAGGGAAAGGGAGGACGACGGAGCAAAAGGAAACCCCCCCGGGAAGAAATGGCTAACCACATCGGCAGGTCACAGCGCGTCGCACTCAGTCAGACAGCGGAAATTATAAATACTTTCTTAAAGTGTAGAAAACGTTATAAATGTTACTGTACAAATTTACATGGGGGAGAGCCATCGTGCCTGTCTCGGGGTGTGTGTGTTCGTGTGGGTTGTGTTTTGACTCTTTTTTGTGTTGGATTTTTTTTTTTCACCAGAATCACCTGTTCTTCTCCAGCAACAAGAATTTTGCAACAACCACCACAAAATATATATATATATTTATGTATATATTTATAAAAAGAAAAGGGAGTAGAGGAAACTGGGAACGGAAAGTAGCTCATTCGGCAGCGGTCAGAACTAACACGGAGAAAACAAAGCAGGCCATCGCGTCCAGTTGGAAACTGTACAGGGTTTGGAGCTCATTATATATGTATATATCTATATACATACATATAGAGATATGTATATATATTTATATATACCTTATGTACAAGAAAATGTAACAGCGTACTTTACAGGGAGCGGAAACCCAAGAGGCTTTTGCAGCGGACAAAGCTTCCCTTAAGACTCACTGTTGGCAAAGGAAGAAATAAATAAATAGAAATAAATAGGAATAAATAACGGGTGCAAAGGAGGGGCTTGGACGCGCTCTGCCGGCAGCATCTCCGGAAAGAGCCTCCTTAGGGGTGCCGAGCAGCTCGGTGGCCACGGGCCTGAGCTCCAGAGTGGCCCCGGCTAAGCCCAGAGTCACCAGTTTGGATGGTTGAGCTTAAATCCAGTGTGTGGCTACCTGGTGTCCCCAGGGCTCCTGCTGGGGCGGGAAGCAGAGACCCTGGTGCTCAGGGCTCAGGTGGAGCTGGGGATGGAGAAGAGTGCAGCCCCTGGGGAGACAGAGGAGAGAGCAGGACAAGGGGGATGTGGAGGAAATGGGATCACAAGGGAGGAGGGAGCAGCCACTGAGGAGCCAGGGCCTGGGGACATGAACTCATCCCTCGGCCGTGGCGCGAGCTGGGGACCCCGTTGATGCTCAGGATGCGGGTGAGAGTCTTGGCTGTGGCACCCGGGAGCCGCTAGGGATGGCCGGTCCCGTCAAACCCAGCAGTGAGTCGTGGCCTGAGCCCGGTCTGCCACGGCCTCTCGAGTAACCCGCGTCCCTTGGCAGCTCCTGCGGCTGCATGGCGGGAAGGAGCCGCTCCCGGAGTGCCGCGGGCAGCGCGTCCTCCACGGCCTCACGCAGGATGGGTCGGGGCGATGCTGCCATGCGGGGTCCAGCTCCCCAGCTCCGCAGCGCCCTCGGCTCTTCGGCGGGAGGAAGAGGAGAGCTGAAGCGGGGAGGAAGGCCCGTCCCTCGCGTCCTGGGGGCGCAGCCTGGAGGGGAAGCACGCGGGGCACGTGCTCAGTGTGGCGGCCCTCAGTGGAGCACTCTGGCACCAGCACCGCCTTGGGAACGCCCTGCGGGACACAGGGAGCCACTTCCCCCTCCGCTGCTTCAGCCCAGCTCCTTGCCCCGCTCCCTGCCCTGCTTCCCAGCAATCCAGGTCCCTGTGTGCCCGCGCCCGGCTCCTCTGCGTATCCCCTTAACCCCAATGCTCAGTGATGTCCTGGGGCACAGGACACATCCCGGCGGGCTCGGAAAGGAAGGGGGAGGCAGCCACTTACTCTGCCGACTTCCAGAAGTGCCCGGGGTGCGAGAGGCGGCGGTTGCGCTTGGGCAGCTTCTCCAGCATGTCCATGAGCTTGGTGAAGGAGGGCCGCTCCTCCTGCTCGTAGGCCCAGCAGAAGAGCAGAATGTCCTGCAAGGGCGATGGTGCCTCAGAACCTGTGGCCAGCGCTAAACCCATCCCTGTGACGCATGGAAACCCGGGGTTCCGTCCCCATGGGAAGCACTGGGGCAAGCAGGGCATGTGACAGTGCCACGTCCACGCTCCATCCCCCTTCCCCACGCACCCGCTCCGGGCCACCTACCGAGATCTCCTTGCCCATGCCGATCTGGCTGAGGTTGGGCTTCATGCCCCGTCCCACCTGCCAGATGATGGCCTCTGCCGGCTGCGTCTTGAAGGGCCACTCACGCGCGTGCAGCTCATACCAGATGGTGCTGTGGGAGAGAGCGGCCGGGTCCAGAGCGCACAGGGGATGCAACACGGAGGGGTCACGGTGGAGGGACGTGACATGGAGGGGACACCACGCGACAACGCACCTCCGCTAGAGATAGGAGGGAGAAACCCCACAGGACAGACAGCGCCACGTGGGAACCCAGCACCCAGGATGCGGCGGCCAGCGCAAGCGAGCGCCCCGTGCTCAAGGCCCCACCGCAGTGTCAGGTCTCCCCTTCTCCTGTACGAGCCCTGGCTCTGTCCCCCGGGAAGGGGGAGCTGCGACAGAGCTTTTAGCACCTTCCTGGGCTTTGGGAATGCCAGAAAAATCAAAACCAAGGGGAAAAACCTTCTAAAGCAAACTTGGCATGAGTGCAGAACCCTCAAAAAAAAAAAAAAAAGAAAAAGAAAAAAAAAGAGAAACAATCCCTCGAGTCTAAATAACCGATTTCTACTCAGTTCAATAAGATCCCTTAATTACTTCTCTTTTTTTTGTTTTTCTTGAGCTAAAGTTATGCTCAGGAATGGAGAGAGAGGAAAAAAACCTCCAACCCCTTCCAGCTTTAATTACTGCATTTTTGATGGAAATATTGCATCCAATAGCAGCTCCCTGCACACCAATCACTGCGGACTGCAGCCTTCACGCTGTCCACGGGCGCAGCGTGCCAGCAGATTAACCCGCCGCTCCAAAACCGACAGCTCCAAGGAAGGTTTTCATCAGGAGATCAATGGGGCTGCTACCGCGGGGATTCGGATCCCCACGAATCTGGAGGATTTGGAGCATCACTGTCCCCCATCCTGCTCTCCCACAGATTTCTAGCTGCACTGGGGATGTTAAAGGCCAGTTCCCTAGAGCTGAAACACGGCAGGTTGGTGGTTTATGGGGGTTACATGGGATCTTCCTGACGCAGAAGACACTCCTGTCCCAGCTGCCCTCCCAGCTGGCTGCTGGGAACGGGTCCCAAGGCCTAGATGGCGCCGGAGCTCTGCACCGTGCGCAGCGCTGCCGCGGGGACTCACCCAAGTGCAAAGACGTCCGAGTGCTTGGAGAAGGGCAGCTTGTCCTCCTCGGTGTCGGGCGAGAGCTGCCGGATGATCTCCGGCGCGAGGTGGCACAGCCAGCCGTTCTGAATTCGCAGCTTGTTCTCTCGCCTGTGGAAACACGGGAGCCGCCGTGAGGGGTGGTGGCGCAGCAGGCTGGCGCCGCTGCTGGCCACGTCCTCGCATCCCCGCCAAGTTCCCGCTGCCGTGATTGCACCAAAAGGCCTCCCCTGAAGGCTGGGGGACTCTCCATTGACCTGGTAGGGTTCTCAGCAACCTGGTGCAAGCTCACCCTGCTCTGAGCAGGAGGCTGGACTGGAAACCTCCAGACATCCCTTCTAACCTAAATTATCCTACAAAAACGGTCTGAAAAACTGCCTTTTCAAGTGTTTTATAAGGGCACTCCACTATCTCCAAGCAGCTTGTCCAGCAGGTTGCCCAAGACCCTGTCCAGATGGTTTATGAGTGTCTCCAAGGATGGAGCGTGGCCAGCCTCTCTGGGCAGAGGACTCCGTTGCCCTCAGGTAGTTGCTTCCCCATCCCTTTACCTTCTAGCAGGCATCTACCAGGTACCACTGCCATAAAAAAACATCCTCCGGGTAACTAGCGCGGCATTCCCCTTGCTCCTGCTGCCCAAGGAGCCACTCCACAAATCCAAGACTCTTCCCTTGCCTGCTGAAGTCTCCTGGAGGGACAAGCTGCTCTGGATGGGGCTGTGGGACACAGGCGGTCCAACAAGGAACTGCCCAGCATTACTTTGCATTTACAGTGAGCCAAGAGCACCTACATGGTACCACAGTGCAGCTGATGGGTGTTGATGCATTAAGCATCTCAATCATGTGTCTGAGCCAAATCTGGCAGCGTAAAACAGCAGGAACTGTGCAGTGAGGAGGCTTCGCCTTTGGGTGCCTTGATTCCCTCCATAGGTCACAAGGTGAGCAACAGCCTTCGGAATCATCCGTCTTCCCAAATTCAGTCTGAGACCAAAATCTCTCTCAAATCTGGGTCTGTCTCACAATCCTGCCCATGTTGAGGGGTGATCTCCCTCCTCCCAGGCCCGTTTCCCCCACGCCTGCTCAGGCAGAGCGGTGGCAAGTCACATTGCCCATTAGCAACGCGGCCACCGCGGCGTCGCAGGAGGAGATAGCGCTGGAGCCTTGGGACAGCGCAAGGAACAGGCTCCGCTCATTACGTCTCCGTCAGCACTCTGGGAACTTGACAGCTCCTCTTCATCTTGGCCGCGTAGGAGGGCAGCGCGGCAATCAAGAGCTGGGGGGATGCTCGGGCACCTCTGTTCTCCGGGAGGCAGAGGTGAGAGCTCTCCTGCACAGGAGGGAAGCTTTCAGCTCCCACCGGCAAGCTCCGATTTCCATCCTTGATCTATGCGCAGGGCTCTTAATTACAAGGCGCCGTTAAGCACTGGGGTCAATTAACAGAGGCACAAAGGAACTTTCTCTGCCTTCCCCACCGGCGCTCCTGACGTCTGTGCTCCAGACTGCTGCTCGCGAGAGGGCAAAGTGGGAGAGACAACCAGGCAGCTCCTCAGCAAGGAGGGCCTCGGGCTGGGGGCCATCCTCTGAGTCCCCCTCTGCTCTTTCCCAGCTTGGAGATGGTTTGAGGAAGCTCCTCTCCGAGGCCCTTGTGTGCTCAGCTTGCCCGACGCGATGCCAGCCCAAGGCTCGGAGGTCCTGGTACACCAGGAGGTCCTGGCAGTGGGGTCTGGCCTCAAGTGCCTACACGAGCCCTCCCCAGCTCTCTCCAATGCCCACGGACACCCAGGCACCCTCAGGGGCTCCTGAGCTTCCAGCATCGCGGGCTGAGCTGCAGCAAAACCCAGAGCTGGTTAGATGACGGCAATAGAGGGTTTCATAACAAAAGCTGGGCTGGTTTCATACACGACACGGCCACTTTGATTAATAGAAAGCGGCTGAATCAAGAGAGTGTCTTGCAATGGAAAGCGAGTCTGCCGTTAAAAGTGCCGGCAGAAGAGCTCTTCAGAGCTCTCAAAATCCACCTCATGCTCCTCCTAATTACAGAACAGCCCTACCGAGCCCAACAATGTTTTATATAAAGGAAAGATAAATATGTTTTTTATCAGGCTAAAGACGTTCAATTACGAACTCTCTCGAAGGCAGTGATGATAGCCGGCTGTGTTCTTAAGAGGAACAACTGAATTATTACCCAGATTTCAGAAAGCAGTGCAAGGAAAGCCTTCACTGGGAGGAAGAGGAGGGTTTTTAACACTTTGGTCACCATAAGGCAAGTCCTGGTGAAGAAAACCCGGAGTGCAGTTCTCATCTGCGTCCACAAGACAAGGTGATAGCATGGGCTGACCCTCAATGAGCTCCCTGCTCCAGTCCAACGCTCACCCAAAGGCCACGTGAGCCGCAGGGGTCCCTTAACGGGCCCATCCTGGCTCGTCCTTGTCTGGGAAAAAGCCATAACAAGCCAAGAAAGTCCCTGGGGAACATCGGCGACGTGACGACGAGAAGGGAAATCAGATCCCTGGACACTATCTGCTTCGAAACCTGTCACAGCTGGCGAGTGCAGCCCCCAAAAGCGGGAAACCTTCCCCCAGATCTCCAGCAACAGCCAAAGTTCGTGCCAAAATCCAGTCGTTTCAGTGGAGTGAGCAGCCAGGATAAGTTCAAAGCTCCTTCTCCACTGCCAGACTGCTGGGGAAAGCAGCAGCCCCATTTTGGGGGCTTCCAAAGCTTTTGGGAAAGTTTGTACCAAAAAAAAAAAAAAAAAAAAAGCCTGGAAGACCATAGTTATTTCCTTTCACCTTGCTATACCATAAGTTGAAAACCATGTAAATCTGAGCATGCTTTATCTCCTGAGCATCCCCTCACGCTCCGAGAGCAAAGAGCCCAGGGCTGCTGGTGAGGGTGACACTGTGTTCGCGTCGGTCACTTCTAGCACAACATTTTCAGTGGAAACCCTCTCTCACGCTGGGAATCCTCAGGACTGTCAGTAAAACTCGGCAGCCAGCGAGCTGGAACAGCTGCCGGGGGATTACAGGGGCTCTGCTGGGGAAAGGGCAAGGAGAGAGCTGGCTTTCCTGACCCCGGTGAAACGGATCCCCAGGAACCTCTCCCAGGGGATTTTGGGCACGGAAGTGTTTGGGGCCATCTGGAGCCAGGTCTGGCCCCTTCACGTCAAAAGGTGCTGGAGACTGGGAAGCAGCAGTCTGGCAATGTCCCCCCACCAGATCCGCGTGGAGGATCCTCAACCCTCAGGGATTCTCAACCTCAAGGATTCGGTGCTCCTGGCAGGACATGCACTGAATCCTTGCAGAGACCCTGCTGCTGCTCCAGCCCCGGTGTCCTACCTGCCCGCCTGCAGCACTCCTGAGATGCTGAAGAGGCCAAAGTCCGTGATCACCACCTTGCCGTTATCGTAAAAAACGTTCTTCGACTTGAGGTCTTTGTGAAGGATGCCCTTGGCATGCAGGTAACCCATTCCCTAGGAGTGGAAAAGAAGAAACTCTAAAGTAGCTGAAAATAGAGACTGGAGCAAAGAGGGTCGACGCCAGCGAAGCTGGGGCAGTTCCTGCGACTGCTGACATGGGGACAGCCTGGCTGGTGCATCCCAAAATACAGGGCTCCCCATCGGCACCGCTGCACGCCTGGCCTGGGGCATCGAGGCTGCCCACGCGCACACAGACCCCATTAGCCTGCAAGCAGGCAGCTCCGAGGAGCCCCGCATTCATTCTTTTTCCCTAGGAAAACTTCATGGTGCTTAATTAAAATTATTGCTAATGATGCAGAGAGAGGCCGCGGGTGGGAAAGCCAAAGTCACTGACGGCTCCGTGGGGCGGGCGTTCAGCGTCGTAGGAGAAGCAGCCTCGTGCGTGGGGAGAGCAGCGAGCACCGTTAATCCTGGCGCCAGCCGGGCCGGGCTGCAGGGGCAGGCGAGGGAGACGCATGCTAGCTGAAACTGCCTCTGTGGAGATGCAGAATGTGGCCCCAAACGGGTCCTTTGGGGGAAGGACTGGAGGCACCAACCGTGCATCCCTCTCCAAGAACCGCGCGGGTGTGGAGGCCCCGAGGGCCCCGTCGGAAGCGGTGGCTTTGCAAAGCCAAGCGGCAGAGACGGGATGTCCTTCGCGGAAGGGCAGCCGAGTCTTTGCTGCGGCTGCTTCCCGAGCCAGTCAGGGCCTGGCCATTCACCCTGCCGCCAATGTCCCGCTGCCGCGGGACCGGCGCGGATCCCCCTGCAAACGCAGGAGAGGTGGCGTTTGGCACCACCATGGCCACTCAGACGGGGAGGGCACTAGCATGGCCCGACAGTGATTCCCCATCTTTGGAGCTCTCTGGCCAAAGCCAAACCCAAGGTTGGTCAAGCGCAACCCCCGGGCACAAGCAGGGAAACTCAGAGTTGTGAGCACCCACTTCACACACCGCATCACTCTGGCTCCGCTGGGACACCCTTCCTGCCCAGCACGTATTTACAGGCCCTTGAGCAGCGCTCGGAGCCACATGGCCCCACGCGCCAACAGCACCACGCGGGACACAGCCCCCACAGGGCGCCCGGCCGCCGTCGCACCTTGACGATCTCCTGAGCTATCTGCCTCGTCTTGTTGACGTCCAGGACCATTTTGGCATCTCTCACCACCGAGTAGAGAGTCCGTCCTTTACACAGGCTGGAAGAGTGAGAAAAGGGAGAGGAGAAAAATAACGATGAAAATAATAAAACATTTCAGAAACCCCAACTCAGGAACATCCCCAATTTCTGAATGCAGAGCCGTGAGGACTCGGGTTCCAACCCAGCCGTATTTCTCAGCCTTTCCCCTCCTGTTTCCTCACCAGAAAGGGACCTCCTGGCCTCCTCGCTCGAGTCCCATGTGCAGGACATCCACATCCCTCCACCTTGTCCCTCTCAGTTCCAATGGCCACAGATGTGACACGAGCCAAAAGAGGAGGCGGGGGAAAGCCAATGCACCGTACAACGGCCTCCAATTTTCCTCCTCGTAGCAATTACAGTAAAATCTATTTGCAGAGCCCTAATTACCGCAGGCAGCTGGAGGGGGGGCACGTAAGCCAATTAAATCTATATTGGCATTTGAATATCATAATGGGGACGTGGGCGGACGTGGCCTCGGCTGCCGCCCGCCAGAAAAGGCTTGTTTGTCTCCCCCC